CTAAAAATCGTGTTATAAAATACGTTACATTAAATATAGCATATAAAGCCCAGAAAAAATATATATCTAGGTGGGGGAATTGTGGAAAGGGGGCGGCTGAGAGTGTGGGTGGGTGGGGGGAGATCGATGGAGGGGGCGGGGCTTCGAATAGGGACCGCCCACTTTTCCTTACCCCCTCCATAGCACACACACACGAACAGACAGACAGACAGACAGAGAGACAGAGAGACAGACAGACACCCCTCTCTCTCTACACCACCGGCCAAACAATTGGCACATGGCCAAAGAGGGCGGAGAGAGAGGGGAGATGGGGTTAGAGATGGAGAGACAGAGATGGATAGAGATATTGCGGGCTGTCTTCACACCCTTTTTTGGGGTTTTGCGGAACGGATCATATTTGGGAGGGGAGGGGAGAGCGAGAAAGAGAGAGAGAGAGAGTAATTGCGAGAAAGCACGAATAAGATATCAATTACGATGCTACTCCTGCAAAGCGTTGCCTGGATTTTCCTCACTTCCAAAATTTCCCAAATTATCTTTCCCAGTTTGCCCTTCTCTAGGAATCTCTGCTAGCCTGCCCTTCCCCAAAGACCTCTGCTAGCTTCCCTGCTAGCTTACCATTCCCGAAGAAGCCATGTGAGCTTGCCTGTCTCAAATGGTCTCTGCCAGCTTGTCTTTTCCCAAGGAATCTCCGCCGCCTTGCCCTTCTCCAAGAATCACTGCGAGCTTGCCCAACACAGAATTCATGCTCATCAGTGCTCCTCAATATTTGAGCCAGAGCTATAGATATGGAGCGAGAGAAATCTCGTTCTAGGTATATAGAGAGAGATAGAAAGAGAGAGAGAGCGAGAGAGAGAGAGAGAGAGAGAGAGAGAGAGAGAGAGAGAAAGCCGAAGTACGGGCCTACATACAAACATACAGATAGTTCACTTTTACGACGGCTATCCGATGATTGGTCAGGTAGTAATTTGTAATGACAGAGAGCGAGAGGAGAGACGGACAGACAGAACGACACGTCAGACACCCATGACATACAGACAGACACATTCCCATCATCAACTTATCCACCTACATACCCACTTGAAAAGATACCTGCAAAAAGGAAGATGAAAAACTGTTTATAAGTATCTCTCTCGTTTTTTTTTGTATCGCAAAGAACGAACATTTGACCGGAAATGGAGCGAGAGTGAGAGAGAGAGAGCGAGGGATAGAGAGAAAGAGAGGGAGGGAGAAGCCGGGAAACGCTACTTTCTCTGCTAGCCCGTACAGGATTCCCAAATGATCTCTGCTAGCCTGCCCGCCTGCTGTGCCATACCCAGACGGCCAGAATTTCACAAACGCCGCAAACTCCGCCCAGATTTCTTGCACTAGAAAATGCAAAAAAATCGGGGAGTGATCGTGTTGAGCAGTGGCCGGGGTGCCACTGCACTGACTCATTCAAAACAGCCAGATCGGATCACATTGTCAACACCATCTTTATTTCCTGGAAATTCCTGGGTTCTCGCCAGATTCGTAACGGGCAAGAAAAATGAATTTAAAAAAAATCAGATTTTGTAGGAAGATGTGCTATTTAGAATATCGAGAGAGAGAGAGAGAGCGAGTGAGAGACAGAGATCCAGAGACAGGTCCTCTACCGTGCATTAATGATATTCCATACGGGATCCATTATTGGCTTACGACATGAAATTCGTACATCTCCCATTTCTCTAGCGGCTTGTAGTACTAATTCCGCATAAGACTTGGCTATTCCGGGAACGTACTGTGCCCTCCCTAGCGCCGAAATCCATCTTCTGGTAATTTGTAGTCACTATATACATACCCTTGTACCCCACCGTACCCCCGCTACCCCACCGTACCTTTGTACCCCATGGGGTACCCTGGGGTATGGGAGTAGTCCCAAAAAAGCGCCCATTCTCCCCTCTTCCGGCTAATATTGGCCCCAGAGTTTACCTGACCGTACCGGCCATAAATTTGATGTTTTGGGAATTCAATTTGGGTACCAGGGATAGAAAATGACCAAAATAGATGGGAAAATAGGAAAATACACTATATATATATACAGCATTTTGGAAGCTAAGACGAATTTCAAATGGTATGGTCCCATCCAAAAAAGCGCCCATCAAATCTCCCCCTCTTCCGGCTTAATAAATTGAGCCCCAGAGTTTACCTGACACGTACACGGCCATAAATTTGATGTTTTGGGAATTCAATTTGGGTACCAGGGATAGAAAATGACGCAAAAATAGATAGGGAAAAATAGGAAAATACACTATATAATATATACAGCAATTTTGAGAAGCTAAGACGAAAAAATTTCAAATGGTATGGATCGCCATAAACGATTTTGTTTCCATTGGTTGAAAGCTACTAGAATTTATTTTGTCATAAATTAGAATGCCGAAATTCAGTATATGCGAAAATTGATCTTGCCGAAATTTTCGATAAAATGAATGTCAACAAAACGAATTTCGACAGACTGCCTGCAAATCTCACAAAGGCAGTTTGAAGCTTGGAAAAGGACGCTTTTCATAAGAGAGCCGGTTAGAAAATCAAATTTGCATAATTAGTTCGAAAGAACTATAATCGAAGTTGGAAGAATCGGAAAACGCTGACAAAGTGCCGTATTCTCCATCACTCACCCCTCCAAAAATGGTAAGTTTTGCTTCCAGCTACATGACCCACCCCGAAAAAATAGGCGCAAAAGATGCGCGCGCGCACGATGCGCTCCCTGCGCTCGCTGACGTCGCGGAGCAGCACGCGGAAGACGAGCGACGGGACGGCCGGCGGCACCGGGTCGCGACGCCCCACGCAACGCGACGAGATTGACGACGCGTAGGGTGTACGGTAGCGTACTGATTGCTGCCGTGGTTTAGGGTGAAGCTGAACTTCCAGCAGACGGGCAGCGGCTCGGGCCGCGCGAGGGCGCCGCCAAGTAGGAAAACCGTACTGTGACGTACCGTAACGTACTGTAGCGTACTCGGCCCTCCCTCAACTCGTGTGGCTGAACGTGTTCGTCTCGTTCACCTACATCTGGCACGTGCTGAAGGTGGCGCTGTGGGTCCGGTTCGTCGTCGCCGTGTTGCCATCGGAAGATAGTACGTCGACCGTGTTTCCTACGGGTCTTTACTAGCTTGCCCTTCCCAAAAATCACTGCTAGCCTGCCATTTTCAGACATCGAGCTCCCGCCGACCGACGGCTTGAAGAAGTGCTGCTCCCGGGCCGTCGGTATTCTCAGCACCGTGCTCGTCATCCTCTGCTGCCTCCAGTTTGTCCAGGTCTCTCTCTCTACGCTCTCTCTCTCTCTCTCTCTCTCTCTCGGTCTAGCCCTGAACTCTTTGCAGATCGTGATGGTGATGATCACGACGATCCGCCGTTCCGTGGAGACGATGAAGCTCAGCCTGCTCACCCAGGTGTTTGTCATCTACGTCGACCTGGTGTTGGCCCTCATCTGCACCACGTACGCGCTCCGGAAATGCTATAGTAAGTTGGTTCTCATGCTCGGTTTCATGCTCTGTTTCTCTTTCTCCCTCCCTCTCTCTCTCTCTCTCTCTCTCTCTCTCTCTCTGTCTCTCTCTCTCTCTGTTCCTCTTTACAGCCCTCTACTGGCCGACCGTCGTCGCGTGGATCCAGCTTGTCCCCTCGATCGTCTGGGCCGTCTACGTGAGCACGTGGTTTGGCCATGTCGAGGCGATTTGCTACAAGATTCGGTACGCCTGGTGTCACTCTCCGTTTAATCCGAATCTACAGTAACCCGTCGATGCACATTGAAGACTACCTGAGCCTCGGCACGCACAAGGAGACGGCCTCCGGCACACAGGTCGGTTCTTGGCTGTTAGCGGGGGAGGGGGGCTTTAGCACTATCCGGAAATCCGCTAACCAACACCCCCGGTAATAGTTTAGTACCTAAAATCGTTTTCCAGCCCTCCGACACGAGCACGAAGCAGAAGGAGACGTCGTCGTCGCGCAAGACGCAACGCGTCGTCGACGAGACCAAAAAGGAGAAATAGGACCCCCGGCAGCAGCTACGCGACGATACGCTACGCCTCTCCACTGCTGTGCCTCCTCGCGTACACCCCCCAAACGATCACACGTTTTTTCGACTGTTCTCGCTTGTATGCTAATTTCTTTGTGCCCCAACTGCGGCGTTGGGGAATAAATGGGAGAAAATGCGAACCTCGCAACAATTTGCATAGCCCGAAAATTTGGATAAAAATCAACTTTAGCTACGCCTATGTAGAGCTCTGTATGCAAATTTGCATTTTTTGGAGCTTGTCAATAACGGTAATATTGAATTTGCGGTTTTTAAATTTTGCGTTTCGCATAATTTGCATAATATCCATAAAAACTTCAATATTTATTGCACGTTAACCATTTCAAAGTCTCAAAAAATCCTCTAGAAATTTACATAAGAATCAGATTCCAAAAAATTAAGTGAAAAGATGGGGGCTGGGAATTTCTTGAAATTTACACAAAACTAAAAAGATATAAATAGGGGTACCGTAGGTAAATTAACATATTTCGAAAAATGAAAATAATATAGAAAAAATGTATCACATTTCAGGTAGGGGCACGAAATAGACAAGCGTGGTGGACACTCGGGGGAGACTAGGGGGGAGGAGCGCGGCGGGGCAGTTTGAGTCTGGTCGTTCGGGGGCTTAGGCTTGGCTTAGACTCTGCTTAGGCTTAGCTTAGGCTTAGCTTAGGCTTGGCTTAGGCTTAGCTTAGGCTTAGCTTAGGCTTAGCTTAAGCTTGGCTTAGGCTTGGCTTAGACTTAGCTTAGGCTTAGGCTTCGCTTAGAAAATTAAGAAACTTTCTCATTAAAGTTTTAGCGCAATAAAAGTATCAGAAAAAATAATTTGAATCCCGAGTCACGGTCAGGTCAAGGCAATCGGCTGGCACATTGGGTTTGTAGAGAGGGGTTACGGTCAAGGGGCAGGTTTTAGAGAATAGAGAATTACGGTATAAAGGTACGGTAGCTTTAAAGGGACTGGTAAGTAAGTCTACATATTCATGATCAGGCGATGCTTCTCCTCCAGCGACATGTCGACGGCAGAGCGCTGGTTCCGTCGGTTGTTCCGCAGACGCTCGCGGGCTTCCTAAAAAATTGTTTTATGATTTTTGCAGTGGATTTTCTGGTTTTCTAATTTGGAGGTTTTGTGATCACCTTGGCGTTGAGGTTGAAGATGTCGTTGAACGGGTCGGCGAGGGCGCCCTTGCCGATGGCCGGTGGGCCATCGTTGTATTGGTGGTGGTGGCCGTTCGTTGGAGGGGCGGGGTTGTACGGGGTGTATGCACCATTGTGGGATGAGTCTGGAAAAATAGGGGTGTTTCTCTCTCTCACTCTCTATCTATCTCTCTCTCTTACTCTCTCTCGCTCTCTATAGCACTCTCTCGCTCTCTCTCGCTATCCCTTTTTCTGTCTCTCGCTGTTCTGAACTCCTTGAAGTCTGTGAATGGTGTGGATCATTTTTCCAGATTTGTCTCTCTCCCTGCCGCCCCTCCTCCTCTCTCTCCCTCCTCTCTCTCCCCCCCTTCTCCCCTTGTTTTGAACTGCTGGAAGTCATTGGAGAGGTTTGAACAGCGAGTTACTCCAGCTCTTCCTCACTCTCTCCCTCTCTCTCCCTCTCTCTCGCGCTCTCTCTCTCTCTCTCTCTCTCTCTCTCTCTCTCGCTCCCTCTCCCTCTCTCTCTCTCCAGCTCACCAGAATGACCGTATCCAGAAGAATTCTGGCTGAGCGGCGAGGTCTGTGGCGGCGTGATCACCGGCGGGTTGTAGGTCTGGAAAATCACACCGTCACAAATTTTTAGAACATTTAAATTCGAAAATCCACTCGCTAACACCGCCACAGCTAAACTATAGCTAACGCTAAATTAATTTAGCTACTAGCATTTTAGCTAAATTAGCATTTCGGAGAGTTAGGGAACAAATTTTAGGGGTTTAGCGTTGAAAAACACTTATTTTTAGGTCCATTTTCGTGAAATTATAAGTGGATTTTGCGGTGCAAAAATAATCTTGTTTTGGATTAGTAGAGTTATTAACAAAAAATAAATACATTTAGGTGTTGCACACTCAATAACTTAAAATTTTGGTACCTTTAAAAGTTTTGCTTTTTAAAGGGGCTGGGAACCGCGAAAATTCGTTAACAAAGAAGCTCCTTGAGATAAAAAAGAAACCAAAGAATTTTATTGGTAAAAATATTCAAATTGCAAAATTAAAAAACTACGATTTTTGGTATTTTTCAAATTTCTAAAAAATCTAAGAACATGTAGAAAAATTATGTTTGCTTCTTGAATTTCCAATTTATGCTAATTACTGCAAAATTATCACATTTAAAATTATTTTGAAATATGCCAATTAGCTCAAAAACATTTTTTATTTTTGTTTTGAAAATATGCAAATTAGCCGTTCCATCAGTTCCTGGACCCTTTAAAACCCAAAAACAACTAAAAAACAACACAAATAAACTAAAAAGCACACCACTTCCTCAACGACATGCTGGTGCTGCTCAACAGGCTCAACGTGGACAGCATGTTGGGGTACCGTATCAACAGCAGTCGAGGTTACGGTAGCCTGAGTGGTGATGGGGATGGCGGCGAAGACGGCGTCGAGGATATCATCACCAAGCGGTTCAGGCACCACTCCGATTGACGGCCTGCTACTGTCGATGGTATCGTGGCGTACGGATGGGGCCTCTGGGAGCGGCAATGGGTGCTCCTCGTACACCGAGGCAATCACTTCCTGTGTCATACGACGCGCCACGGTCTCCGCCTCGGCCTCGGTGATCGTCTCCTGAACACGGCACGCTACGGTATTAGTGGGGCAAATTATAAAAACTAAAAATTAATTATTTTATCTATTAAAATTGAAATTTTTACCAGGTATAGGTCAATTTTTACACTTAAAAATAGTTTTTCCGGCTAAAAAAGCTTTTAAAAATCTTTCAATTTTAATTATTTAGTTTTATTACATTTTATTAATTTTTACAACAATTTTTAGCAGAATTATTGAAATACGAACGTTATTTGGTGTAATTAGTACGATGCACTCCAAACGACACCCTAAATACTGTGCGGAACACTGCAAATTACAAACTTTACAAAAATGAATTTTGGGCAATTTCAACTTAAATTTTTCAAGCTTTTGAAGCCAAGCTCGCGAAGCCAACTTAGAGAATTTAAAAGCAACTTAAGAAGCGCAAGCTAAACGCAAAACGGAACGCAAAACGTTTGCTACTTTTTCCCGGGGCCACTGTCGATAGGTGTGCGCGTCCTGGTTGACCAGAATGCTCTAAAAATCCAAAAATTCCATTTTTTGGCAGCTAAATTTGCATAAGTTTTTGTAAAGGATACTGTAGCTACAGTAGAATACGGTAGATTTTTTGCTTTTTTGGAAATTGCAACGCAATAGGGCAGGTGATGCATGCAAATTCGGTGGAAAGCAAAGAACAGATTTTGCCTTGTTGGTTCCTTTAAATGCTTCAAATAAGGGATAATTCTACTATTCTTAAAGTGTACTCTAACTATGATACGCTATGTGGCGCTACGCAAGGCTACGGTAGGCTACGCACGGCTTTGATACGCTACGTGATGCTGGGTAAAGCTAGGCAAGCCTAGAAAAGCCATCGTAGGCTACGCAAGAATACGCTAGAATACGCTAGGCTACGTCAGACTACCTTACGTAAGGCTACGCAAGGATACGTAGGCTACGGTAGGTTACAGCAGGTTACATTAGGCTACGGTAGGCTATGGTAGGCTACGTCAGAATACGCTAGGCTACGTACTGCGACGCAAAGCTTCGCTATGATACGCTCCAATTTTCCCCGGATGTAACGTACGTGTGGCGGGATGACGGTGGAGGGGGCGTGGCTTCGGTGAGCGGGGAAATCCTCGACGTACGAGAAGCTGTACTCCTCCCGGTTCTCCTTGTACCAGCTGCAAAAAATTAGTTGCTTTTTGAAGCTTGCAGTTTGTAGATTGTAACTTGTAGCCTAAGGATGAAAAAATTCACCCACCTAATTTAAATTTTCGCTAATTTCTTATTTTTCATTTTAGAAGTGTTTTCTAAAGTGTTATTGGATTTTCACAGCTCGTGGAGTGACTATTTAACGGTAGCTTTTATTGAGGAATTTTTAGCTTGTAGCCATTACCTTCTATCCTCAATTAAAATCGCATAAATATACGAAAACTTATGGCTTTCGGATCCCTTTAAAAAAATTTTAGAACTCTTTTAGACCCGAAATTCCGTTACACACCTATCGACATCCTCGCTGGCGACCAAAAGCTGAGTATGGACTGGGGAGCGTTTGATAAGGGTGACGACGTCCTGAAAAGTTAGAAATTAGCAGAAAATCGATCGGTAATTAGCAGAATTCGCATAAATCCTAATAAAGCGATACCTTGTGCTGGGTGCTGGGGTAGATCAACTCTCCATTGACTCCAACGATGCGCTGCCCAGTTTGGAGACCGGCCTGGAAAAATTGCATAAAGGGACTGTGATTTGCACGCTTGTCAAATTTTTAGTATTATAAGCCTTGTTGGAGCTATGGATTCTTGCCTTTTAGGTGCCTTTAAAATACCAACCCGGTCTCCAATACCGCCCGGATCGACCGTCCCAATAAAATGGCCGCGTCCCTTCTCGGCGTGAAGGTTGAAGCCGAACTCGTCGTTGGGCGACGATTTTTGCTGAAAAAATTTAGTTATTTACAATTATTTAAATTATCAAAGTTATTTGTGGCTTGAAATCCTAGAAATCATAGTTTTAGCCTTTTTGGAATTTTGAACACAGGTTTTTAGGCTTTTCTAACTCACCAATTCACAGAGGCGCGGTCTCGGCTTCATCCCGTCGTGATGGGTAGTGGTCTGGAAAAACATTTTTTAGACCTTTCAAACCATGCTAAGACATGAAACGTTTTACGATAAAAAATTGTTTTGCAAGCAGCAAAAAATCAATAAAAATTCCCTAGGGGCTGCTTCAAAATTAGAATATTCTGGCGCGAAGAAAGAGAGAGAGAGAGAGAGCGAGAGAGAGAGAGAGAGAGAGAGAGAGAGAGAGAAGAGAGAGAGAGAGAGCGAGAGATAAAGAGATAGGAACAGCGAGAGAGAGCGAGTGAGAGAGCAATGCACCTTTTTTGGCAAATCAAACATAGACCCCGTCGATTTGGGTGGAGGCTAGCCGGAGGGGCACTGAAAGGGATAGTGTTTGGGCAAATATTGCCCCCTTTTTGAATGCATATATTTTTTGGAGGGTGCGTAGGCAGAAGGAAGCAAATGGGAAAGAGGGGAAAACTAGCAAAGGTCCTTGGGGAATGGAGACGCATTAATAGAAACGCAAAAAGGGCGGACAGATTAAGAAAACGTTGAAGATTTCGTGAATGCAATAATAGGCTTCAAAATTGAACCCGCGCGCGCTAGCAGAGATTATTGGTGACTAGAACTAGGCTATCAGGCCAGCAGCGATCATTGGGGAATTTGGCGGGAAGCTAGTAGCGATCACTTAAAACTTAAAACATCCGAGACCAGATAGCCGAGATCCTTTGGGAAGGGCAAGTGAGCAGAAGTAAGTCATGTAAGGCCTAAAAGCAGGCTAGAACAGGCTAGCAGAGACCTTTAGGAATTGGAGGATAGCTGATAATAGTCAGGAACTGCAGGTAGGCTAGCAGAGATCATTCAAGGATTGCTGGTGAGTTAGCAAAGATCATTTAGGAATATAGGTAAGCTAGCAAAGACCATTCCGGAATTCGAGGGAGGCAAGCAGATTTCTTTTAGAAATCCAACACAAAATTTCTGCTCCCAAATTTCCGTTTTCCCGAGCACCCGCTGCACCAGAGCACACCCCAAAATATTTGAACATCATCAAAGAGGCGAGAGAGTGGGGAGAGAGATAGGGCGAGAGAGAGAGAGAATGATAGTGAGATAGAAACACAGACAAACAGACACGTTCCATCCCTCGTTCCACCGGTGCTTGCCCACGGGAAAAGCCACGGCTCAAAAACAGTGCAGATAAGGAGAAGCAGAAGACAAGGGGTGGTGTCAGGAGGAGTAAACGGAATACTATGGGCCCGAAAAAAGTGACTACAATGGATCGGAGAAGGGAATGAACCCCGGGAATGGGGGGAGGAACGGAGGATGACTAGCTAAGGGTATCGAGACGGGAATTTATGACTAATCGGGCCGAGAGAGAGAGAGAGAGAGAGAGAGAGAGAGAGAGCGGGAGAGAGAGGGAGAGAGCGAGAGGGAGCGGGAGAGAGGAAGAGAGGAAGAAAGATGGCGATAAAATTAGCCGCTCCGACTTGAAGCAGTTCGAAGTAATTCGCAAAACCAAATCAATTTTGGACTACGCGCCGCTCCTCAAAACGAACGGCGGAAAAACGCGCTGTCGGCGCCGATGCTTTGCGCGTAGCGTCAAGTGGCCAGGCTGGTGGTGGGGGCCAGGCGGGGCGGCCTGCCCGGCTTCTTCAAGTGGCACAACCACCACCAACCCCTTGATGGTGATGGCGGTGTACGGGTGAGAGGGACAGGCATACCTTGGCGCTTTTTAATGGGATCAGAAAGCCATATTCTTACTACTTACTCTAATTAGGAATCTTCGCAACGAATCATGCTGTCAATAGAGCTTTAACCCAATAAAAACGTTGTTGCAGTCGATTATCTCCAAAAACCCAAGCAAAACAGCTCGTTTCGAGCACGTGTCATCGGAAAATACGGAAAATGTCAGACCAAAACACTTATTTCAAGGTCATTTCACTGGTTTTCCACCCGGAACAGGTTTGGCAACGGCGCGGAAAATACTTAGGATCCTTGAGCAAATTTGAAACATTCACCTAGCGAAATTAGTGCAAAAAGGCGTTATGAAATTATTTACAGAAAATTCTAGATCGCGAGCCATCGAAAAAAGCAGGTTTTTTTGCAACGGCAAAGCTAACCATCCGTTTTTCAGCCCAATCAAACCCAGATTAGCGGACTTTAAACCGTTCCCAACTGGGAAAAAATCGGAAATCGGAGGCCAGAGCGCAAAAAATGGTAAAAATGACATAGCCACCACTCGATTCCCAATATCCTGAAAGAGGGGGGAGGGGCAGTGTGGCGACAGGACAATAAAGGGATTCCCGCGGGGGGTTGGGTGCATATTTGGGCGGTGGTTGCTTGTTGTTGCGCGCAATCGGCTTTATGAAATCAGGATTACAATGCGTGGCTTGGGAATCCGGGAATCGGGAAAAAAACGGGAAAATGGCAAAGTATTCTCACGATATTTCGATATTTTACTGTCATTTTTTAGATGGTTCCTCTCGGCACGGAAACAGTAACAAAGAAACAAAAACGCTACCTAATTTTGTAGCCAGGACGAGAGACTAATTATCGACGGGGTCGGGGGCCAATTTTTGTGCCTGGCGCCAGAGGAGTGGGGTACGCAAAAAAGAAGAGATTCTCGGATCTTCATGGAAACAGATAAGAGGCAGGGTAGTGAGGACGGCAGGGCCCTGATTATCACTACTCCAAACGCCGAGAAAGGGTTGTATAGTACTGATAGTTCTTGGAAGGGCTCGAAACGGTGAGAAACCGAGAAATTGTAGCGTTTCGAGGGTGACTTATTGGGCTGGAAAAGTCAAGGAACGAGCCAGAAAAAGGACAGAGGGAGAGGGGAGATAGAGAGAGAGAGAGAGAGAGAGAGAGAAAGGGAGAGACGGCGAGAGAGAGATAACTGAAAAGAGAAAAATCCAAAATCTGATTTTTCAGGCCTTACAAAAGAGTGAAAGATAGAGAGAGAGAGAGAGAGAGCGAGAGCGAGAGCGAGAGAGAGAGAAAGAGAGAGCGATAGCGAGAGAGAAAGGGAGAGCAAGAGAGATATCTTTAGAAGCTGAGATCACAAAATAGCACAAAAAATCCTACCTTGGTCGGTGCATACCAAGTCCCAGGGGGTGGCGAAGAATTTGGAGGGGCTGGCCGGGAGAAGGAGTCCTTAAATAAAAATTATTTGAATCTGGAAACCGTTGAACACAGTGAAATTCGATAAATACAGAAATTTATATTGTTTCCATTTTTGCGCAAATTAAAGGAGCCTGTAACTCACCGATCTGGGTTGCGTAGGGAGTGGCAGTCCTCGGGTGGCGTACCACTCGACGGCCGTAGCGTCGAGTACAAGAAGGGAGCATTCATTCGGGTTCGACTTGATGCGTGTGACAACCTCAAAATTGCATAAATTAGAATTTTACAATAAACTCCAACTGCAAAATTATAGCTATTAAAAATTTTAGATGGACCAGAACGTCAAAAAGAATCGATTAAACGAGTTAAAATCGAACGTAAATTTTATGGCATAAATTCATTAAAAAAGGTTTAAGGGCAATTGGAAGGCAAAAAACGTATCAGAACGACCGTACCTTGGTATGGTTCTCCTCGATGATGCTGTGCCCATTAACAGCGAGGATTCGATCTCCAGTACGGAGGCCACTTTTCTCAGCGATACTGCCGTGATCAACTACACCCACGAATTGGCCCTTGCCCTTCTCGGCGTGCAGGTTGTAGCCGTACTCCTGGAAAATGGCTTTAATTCTTTCTCGCTCTCTCTCTCTCTTTCACTGTCTCTCTCTCTCGCTCTCTCTCTCACCTGTCCAGGGTACTCCTTCGTGAGTGTGCAGAGACGAGGCGCTGGCCCGTCCATCATCTGGAAAAATGAATTCAAATTTTGGTACAAGAAAATGCCGACAAGTAAGGAAATATCAAATAATGCCGACACAAATTGAAAAAAATTGAAAAATGTCGGCCACTCTCGAAGTAGTAAATGTCGAAAAGGGTGGAAAAACACAAAAAATCGCTTTCAGAAGTATGAAAAAATATAAAAGGCCGACGATCATCAAATAATGCCGAAAGGTAAACTTTAGAATTTTGAAAAATCAGGATAGATGTCGAAAACGGTGAAAACGGTCAGGGATATCCACAGGAAAGAACTCGGAATCCCTTCGCAAAATCTTGCCATGATGCCGAAAATGCCAAAAAATGCCCACAACAAGTTATAAAAGTAAAAAATGACGAAATGTTTTCTCTCTCCTACTACAAGGAGCTCAAGGCGTTCAGAACAATGATAAAAGATGCATAGATGGTGAGAAATGTTCTGCAGAACCTGTCTGCGCCACAAAAGAAGGGAATGGGGACACCGAAAAAAGGAAAATGACCCCAGGGGAGCTCGATCTACGTAAAAAGGAGCGGAGGGGAGAACGGGATTTATCGTGATAGTGATAGTGATACGTTAGAAGGTGTCGCTAGGTGTTTTAAGGAATTAGCTGCTAACTCTGATCAAATTAGCACCAAAATGGTAGAGGGCGAGAGAGATAGAGCGCGAGTTAGAGAGAGCGAGAGAGACATAACGAGGGCGAGCGCGGGAATGCTAGAGAGAGAGAGAGAGAGAGAGAGAGAGAGACAGAGAGGGACAGAGATTTTAGAACATTACGACACGTTACGAAAATACGAGCGTAGCGTATGTCCTTAAATGTACGCATTTTGTCAAAAAAAACGGGTCAGCAGCTTGGCTCGTACCATTTAGGGTATTAGCCAGAGGTACCATCTGGGGTCTGGAGAGTCTACCAAACCGGGTCAACCCCCAAGCATTTTCTCCCGGGCGTCTTCCCCTTCTTCCGGGGGGTTGACCCAGCCAAACGAGAGTCGGTAGTTTTTGCATATCGATGCCCGAGAAAGGGGAGAGAGAGAGAGAAAGAGAGAAAGAGAGAGGTCTAGAGAGAAAGCGATAGAGACAGAGAAACTCGAAAACTACAAAAATCAATAAGCCAAAATTTCCGATACGTTGCCGATACTAGGCGGCTAATTTTGCCCCTCACTCGCCTCGTAAAGTCCGGCGCTAAAGGGTGGCAAGCGTCGGAGAAGCCGAGTTATCAGTGGTTATGGGATGAGAAAAAGGGTCCGAGAATGGGAGGCTGACAGAGCTAGAGAGAGAGAGAGAGAGAGAGAGAGAGAGAGAGAGAGAGCCAGAGCCTACTAGCTTATCAGATCCCCGCCGTACCCGTGGATTATTACTGGACCATCGATCTATTCCCGCCCCTAAAGGGATTGGGAAGGCCATGGGGGGATGGCGCAATAGGTTACGCCGCTCGCCATTCGAATTGAGGGTCAGGGTTCAGGGCCATTGTGACGAAATTTGCATACAGAAGCATGGGAATGGTGCGTAACTTTTAACACTATTAGGTTTCTAAAATCCAGGAATATTTGGGTAAGCTTTCTAAAAATTGGTGATTAATATTTGAAAATTAATTTGTTTTAATTTAAATTCATTCACTTAAAAAATTATTTTGAAAAGAACGCCAGATCAGCATAGAATTGTACTTACTGTAAGAAGGGCTACGCGTCGAAAATAAAAAAAAACGAAAAATACGCTAAGAAGCGCAAAGAAGCACAATTTTACGAATTCCGCGTTTTTGGATTTTAAAGGAACCCGGACAGCCACGTTCAGCTTGTAAACAGTACAGTAAAAACGGCAAGTTTTCAAAAACAAACCAGAAAACCGAAAAATACACCCTAAAAACGTCATGAGCAAAAATTCAAATTCTCCACTCGGCTTCTGTACTCTCTGCGGGGAGGACAAGCGCAATTCGCAGATTTTGCGGGTTTTTGGGTGGGGGTGTTGTGTGGGGGGTTGTATTTGTGTGTGTTTCCGAGGGGAACAAGGGTCTTTTCCAAGGGGAATCCGCTTATTTTCAGTTCTCCCGGTGGAATAAGCCGCTGGGTGGGAGGTCTAAAGTTTGCCCCCTGAAGCCTCCGGGCAAAAGCTAGGGGAAAGGAACCAGAATATCTGCATTTGCATAAGAAGAAACAATGGGTAAGATGTTCACTGAAAAAGTTATTTTCTGGAGAGAGCGAGAGAGAGGGAGGGAGAGAGAGAGAGCGAGAGAGAGAAACATAAACACCGGGCCAGGGAGCGACAGAGAGAGAGAGCCAGAGTGAGAAAGAGTGCGAGGCAGCGATATGTAACTAGTACCGATCGTCCTAGTAGATTTTTTAAAGGGCCCAGGAAGTCAATTACCCACCTACCCCACAATTAGACTCTTGGCAAAAAGCCTCATCTCATCTCGATCGTTGTGAGACCAGTTTAGCTCGAGCAAGTGGGTGGAAAATCGGCAATTTTGTGGATACTGTACCCAGAATTGGCTAATTGCTAATATGCAGAGTAAGCGGGACAAATTACGGCTTCCAGGTCCCTTAAAAATGCTAAAAATAAATCCAAGATGGCAGAATTTCAGAATTTGACGAACTAGCCACGAGAGAAAAGAGAGAGAGAGACCGAGATCGAGTCGGAAAGAGAGAGAGAGAGAGAGAGAGAGAGAGAGAGAGAGAGAGAGGCAGGGTGAGACAGATAGAAAAGCAAAGCAATTTAAAAAGCGCCTGTATGGGTAAAAAGTGTTGTAAAATCCCTCGAAAACCTGGTTTCTGAATGCTAAAACGTCTAAAAACTATGAATGAGTATTTTTTTGCTACAAAAGGACTAAGTTTTCACGACGCTCCTAAAAACACTTGAAAAACTGCCTTCAAGATGCCAAGTGAGGCGCCAAAAAGCCGGAAATCAGTGTGTGTATGCGGCACCGAGGCGGATTGTTGCGGTCGAAAAATGGAGATAAATTATTGACGAGCCGGGGCAAGCAAGACAAAGAAATGGCACCGGACCGCCGGCCATTTCTCGACCGTGGTTTCACTTTCCAGGTGGCTGGGGGGTGCGAAAAATTGAGGCGGCGAGAATGGAGAGGGATGATTATCATAGCCGGACACCTCGCGGTGGAAAAGCTGAAGGGCAAATAGGGAGCGAGAGTATGAGAGAAAGACAGATAGAGAGAGAGTGTAGAAAAAGTTGGTGGAAAAGTTATTTCCAGCTGGAATGCCCATTCAAATGTCGACATAAAAAATCGCGAAAGTCGAAATCACGTCTTTCACAATCCGCAAACGAAAATGCAAACACGATAAAATGCCGACAAAACGCCGGAATGCCGAAATTTAAAACCGGGACAGAAAAAATGTCGACAGCCGAACGCCGAAATTGAAAGTGTTAAGTTCAAAAATGCCGACAAGAACCCGGAATACTCATTTAAAATGTCGCTGGTAACGATGCCGACAGACGGAAGGACGCAATTGAAAAATTCACAGCGAAAATGCCGACCTAAACGCCAGAAAGTCGAGATTCAAAATGCAGTATAGCGAGATGCCGGCCACCGGAACCCGACGGTCTAAGATGCCGAAAGCAAAACGCCAACATTCCAAAAACTTTCTCTTCAATTTCTTATCCCATTGACCCGCCCCAAAAATGCGTAAACAGTAGCGTACCGTAGCTCAAGGGGTTTGTTTTCGGGAAAGGGGCGGTTGGAGCTGAAAACATAGGGGTCGAAACCTTGAATCAGCACCGCAGCGGCGCGTGCGTGCAAAGGTCAGTGGCGGAAAGTTCAGCGCTGTACGGAGTTGTCGGACGGAATATTGGAAAATTACAGTTGAGGTAAATTAGCAAGGAAAGATAGAGCCATTTGGATTTGTAAAATAAAAAATTAGATAGAGCGAGAGATAGAGAGCGCAAGAGGAAGCGAGCGGGAGAGAGAGAGAGCGCGTGTGAGGGAGCGTGAGAGAGCGTGAGTGAGAGAGAGAGCGAGCGAGAGAGAGCGAGCGGGAGAGAGAGCGAGAGGGAGCGAGCGGGAGGGAAAGAGAGAGCGTGAGAGAGAGCGTGAGAGAGAGCGAGAGAGAGCGCGAGCGAGAGGGAGCGCGAGCGAGAGAGGGAGCGAGCGGGAGAGAGCGCGAGTGAGAGCCAGCGGGAGAGATAGAGAGAGCTATACAAAAAATGTCAAATCATATATCAATGTCAAGTAAAAAATGTGAATATATATTTAATAATCCGAAAAATTCACCACGTGGTTCTTGCTCTAGGATTAAGAATGTTATACAGGAAAATACGCTTACAAGAAAACCATTCCGATTAAAACGGCACTTGAAATGAGGCGAAAATAGGCTAAACTTCAGTCTGTCTGTCTGTCTGTGTGTCCCGCTCTGTCCGTCTGCCCATTCGCAAGTCAGAATGGAAAGGTTCTACCGCCCTCCAATTCAAGGGCAACCTCCTATTCAATTCAACTCACCCCCCGAAAAAAGTATCCCGAATCGAGGGCGAAGGTGGGTTCCAAAATGAGGGTAGGTGCCCAAAAATGAGCCGGAGCCGTTCAGTGCTTGACATTATTCCCAATAAAAAGCCTGATCAAAAACCCGCACTTGAGAAGGCTTTTAAAGGCTTTGGAAAGACAGAAAACCCGGAATCCAAGGCCCGCACTTTTTCTACCCATCAAAAATCTCGACCCCCTATTTGCAGATTCCGATCTCTACCGGACGGCAATTCCGTGAAGGCGTTCCTCCTTCGGAGGCTAATTTGCACGAATTTGATGGTCATTGGACGGGGAGGGATTGAGCGGAATTGGGCGGATCGTCTCGGAATCCGAAGCCAAAAAAGTCAAACCAGCTCGATTTGGGGCACAGATTGGACCCAAATATCAAAGAAGAAAAATGGTAAAAGCTAAACTACAGTTGCAAAACTAAAAAAAACTATACAACACGTTAAAGGAAGTCGCAAGGCAGCAAAACCAGCCAAAAAATGCAAAAAACTCAAAAAAATGTTACTGATAACCACAAAAATCA